CATCCATGCTTAGCTTGAGGGGGAGTGTTGGTTCGGCTGATTTAGTGTTTATGTTAGTCATATTTGTGTCTTAAGTCCTTAGTTATTGGGCCTAAACTTGTTTAATGTTTTATTTGTCTAGGTGTCCCATCACTAATCAGGGGCATTCTAGTCCATTCATGTAACATTATTTTGTAAACGTCTATATAAAATTGTAGGGCCGGCTGAAGTAGTAGAGCCGCCATTCTCAAATCTTCTTCTCTTCTTCTCTTCTTCTTCTTCTTCTTCTTCTTCTTCTTTGGCTGCTGTGTTCCAGCAAACATCTTTTATGGTGTTTATTGATTTGTGTAAATCTGTATTTTGCTCTTCCTGACATCTTTATTTGATATACTATTCAATAATTTATTATATTTCAGGTGGTTGTTTTTATTATACCTGCAAAAGTTATCGGCATTTATATTCCACTAGATGAGCTGATGTTCATATCCTTAAGGGCTAATACATGGTTTAACAATAAGAATGTATAGCCTACAACAGATAGGGGCCTACATCTTTAAATAAATAAATTGAACTATGTTTCTTTTTCTGTATGTCTTTTGTTTATGTTGTGAATTAACTGGGTGAAGACTATGGAACTCCTTTCTTCCTTCTCTTTTGATGATTTATGGGGAAACTAGGAAGTGGTTGCCAAAAGTTGTATTGTGAGATTAAACTGTCAGTGGAGTGGAAACCTCCTGTAGAGGGGGTCATCAAGCTCAATTTTGATGGTAGCAGCTTAGGGCCTTAGGCAATCTGGGGCCTTCTGGCATTGGGGGAATGTTTATAAACGCGAAGGGACTAATTGTTGCTTTATATTCTGGTCCTATAGGAGTGGAGAATTCAGTTAATGCAGAAATCCAAGCAGTGTTACAAGGAGCAGAATTTTCCATATAACTGAATTGTGAACAACTTTTAATCGAAGGTGACTCCAAGCTGGCAATTGGGTGGTTAAAGGAACCAGAAATTGCTGCTGATCCTATAAGGGGGCCTTGCAAATTCAGATGGCTAACTACAAATATGCCAGTCCACTTTCAATGGGAAAGAAGATAGGCAAAATGGATTAGTAGATTCTCTAGCTAAGCAAGGGGTGCATAGGAATCAGATTTTTGGGGCTAAATTGTAACTTTTTGTATTGATCTGAGGCTGCATCTCGACCCTCATTGTGGGAAGCTTTCTCCGTGTATCATTTGTGTTTTCTAATCTTTAATAAAATCATTCACTACATATAAAAAAAACATGTTTGTGTTGACATTTGGCAGTCTCTTTTATGTGGTTACTGGGCTAGTCTAATTTGTGATTTTAGGACATTTCCACCATTTTGTTAAGGAATCCAGAGAAATAAATATTTGTCTTCTCATATGAACTTCTATTTCATTCTGTTCTTTTAGGATGATGGCATTCTTGAACGATTTAATGCATTAGATCAGGCATCTACTCTTCAATTCACAGAAAAATCAAATATTGGAGGCACTGTTTTTCAAAGGTATATTTTCCTATATGTGTATCATTTTCACATATTACATTCATGAGAGCTGTGCTCTTCTCAAATCTCTTTGTTTCAATAATCTGTAGCCATGTTTTATATTGCATTCGTTCAAGAGATATATTCTTATGGTCATGTTGGCATTTATTATAGAAAATGTGTTGCAAATGTAGAAATTTATTTTCTTTTGTATTCTTAAGCTATTCTTGTGTTATCTAATGTGCAAAGCAAAGATAATAGAAAACATGGTATAACCACATCTTACCCATCATTAAAAACATTCTTGTTAATTCCCTCTATTACCCTCAAATGTGCATACAGAGAGAGAAAGTGGGATATTCTGTTATTTATTTCAATATGTTAATATTCTCTTCAGTCTTATCAATTTGTCTGCTCAAATAGGAAATGTCATTCTTCTAGATGCTATCATAATATTCATTGCTGGTTATGCAGATTTCCACCAGAATTGTTAAAAAAGTTGACAACAGATTGCCTTGTCATGCAACACCATCAGGTGATTCTCACTGTATGATATTACTGGACATTTCAGGGTGTCTTAGTGCTGTGGTGGTTGACATTCATAAAATTTTTGTCAACCTTTGTTTGATTTATGATAGTTAACTACTGAAACTATGCAATTAGATTTTGGAGATTCCTTATAAAACGTTGGATTATCACATGATGTATTAGTCCTCTTAACAGAAACTGAAGTTTGTCTGACTAGGAAGTTATGGTTGCTTTACTGGCTTCTCTCTCCTTTTTTTTTTAATATTATTATTGACCATGATCAAAGTTAATGCGAAAAACTACAAAACCCTTCACTAGAAGTGAGCCAAATGCACTTTACAAGAGATACATAGCTTATAGCTGTTATCTGTAGGTAGAAGCCCCTCTGCTCATGGTGCCGTGCTGGCATAACCATCCAACAATCATTTCGGTGAAATAGAGCATATATGAACATTAACAGATGATAAAATTGATGAGAAAGGTTGCTGATTGACACACTGGAGTGTCAATCATAAAATTTCATCCTTCATGTACATCCCCCCTCTTCTTTTCTGAATGAAAGCAACCTTTTTTCACTTCAAAAAAAAAATGATGAGAAGGGTTTCTGATTGACACACTAGAGCAATACACTTCAAGTTTTGACTGCTCACATCTGAAGATCCTAACATCCTTTTTAGATACTGGAAAGTGTTAGCCAGAATTAAATGTCTAGAAATTGCTCCTTTCTGGACTGGGACACAACCCATTGGGATGTAGACAAACTGTCAATCTGATTCCTTTGAAGTTATCCCAAGGGTGTCCCTTTTATAATTTGAATTAAATGCCTTTGGCTGCATCAGTTGGCTTATGTTTGTCTTGGAAGATCTATATCCTCTTCTCATGGGGGATTAGTCAATTAATACTTGCAAGCATGGAAGCAAAGTAATAAAAGAATATTGATTTTGGGCCTCAAAATGGACTAATGGATCAATATTTGGGCTACATTAGGTCCACATCCAGCCTTATAGGATCTTTAAAAGATTATAAATCTTTGTGGTCATAGTTTTCAAGGCACCAAGGCGAGGCCAGGCGATAGGGGGGCACCTTATCGCCTAGTCACCTAGGCAATGGATTTTTTTAAGTAAAAGACGTATTCTAGGGTAGTTATCTAGGTTCCATAGCCATATTTTCCTTAATAATTATCCATAATTTTCATAAGAAAAGTATAAACTTCATGTTTAAGTATAGAAAATCAGCATATTCATGAGGAGAAAAATGAAGAAAGAAAGGAAAATCCAAAAAATATAGGGCTGAAGCCCTATTTTTGTTATAGGAAAAGAAGAAGATCTACTGATTAGACAAAATTTTAAGTTCTTCCTTATTGGTTCAGGTTTTGAAGTCTTTGAGGGTTCAATACACCATTTAGCAATGTTTGCGTTGATTAAACATAACAAATAAGAAAATAATAAAAAGAAATTAGTATATAACACAAAATGAATATTTTAGTTTAATAATGTGTTGAGAAAGTTTAGGCAAGGGTGTTTTTAGTCTTTACCTCTTCCCTTTGTACTCTTTTTGTATTTGGGCGCCTAAGTAGGGGCCTCTTTGTAATTTCTTGTTTAAAAATATAAAGTGCCTTTTGTGGGTGTGAACAGTAACCAAAAAACACACCAATCAACACATTCATCTTCTTCTCTTTTCTCTCTTTCTTTCTTTCTTTCTTTCTATCTTTCTTTCTTTCTTTCTTTCTTTCTTTCTCATACAAATCCTAGATTTACAACACTAGTTTCCAACTTGGTACCAGAGCGGGTAATGGCACTTGGGAATACCTTTCTTGATTACTCTCTTTTTACGAGATGAACTGCTGATGTCAAATTGCCGCCGGATGACATCAACAGTCCATACAGGTGTTGGCAACAATACATGAGTCATATATGGTTTGATTCACCCTGATTTTAGAAGATTTTTGGTATGACTCGTCTTTGTTTGAAGCTTCTATGAATTTTAGTAGATTTTTCGAGCAGAAAATCACAAAGAATCCAGATATGATGTTGAGCCTTAAACACTTTGTTTAATCATTTTTTCTGCTGCAAAACCTAGACCATTCAGGTCGTTTTTTACTTTGGAGCAACGGGAAGTGGTCCCATATTTTTCTAAGCCCTAGACAATTTATGGGAGATTTTCTTCTCCCTCTATTTTGGCGCCAACTTAGATTTTTGGCCTTTTTTTTGCCTCTTAACCGTGTGGTGGCCTAGTTTCTTGGATCATTAGCTGTGCTTAAGTATTTGGGGCCCCTTTTCGTTGACACGAAAGTGTTTTGATAGATTATGGAATCATCTAAGGATGTACAAATGGTTTCCAGTGTGTTCCCGGGAAGTGCAAACATTTCCAGTGGTATGATAACTACTGTTAAACTTGATAGAACCAACTTTTTAGAGTGGTCCCAATTTGCTGAACTTACCATTACTAGGAGAGGTAAATTGGGATTCATCACAGGAAAGGAGGTGAAGCCAAATCTGGAAGATCTGAAATACGCAAAGTGGGAACAGGATAACTCATAACTCCCTTGTAATGTCATGGTTGATTTGTTCAATGCAACTTCATATTGCCCGAAACTACATGTTTCTTCCAACGGCCAAAGATATTTGGGATTGAGTTGTTGCCACTTATTCCCAAGTTAATAATACTACTAGAATGTACCAGCTTCGGAGGGAAGCTTGTAGTATGCGTCAGGGGGAGAGATCTATGGCTATGTATTTCTCTTCTCTACAATCTATCTGGGAAGAAATGGATCACCTGAAGACTCTTGTATGGAAGGACCCTGAAAATGGTGAGCAATATCGAAAGTATATAGAGGAGAATAGAGTCTTTGATTTCTTGGCTTGCTTGAATCTAGAGTTTGATTTTACTAGGCAACATATTCTTAGTGCCGATATTGTCACTCTTGCTTCTGCATAATCCCTTGTACAAGGGGAAGATAGTAGAAGGATAGCCATGATGCAACCTCCTATGATTGATCACTCTGCCTTTATGTCATCTCGATCCAAGCAAAATACTAGTAAGCACCCTGTTATTGAGAAGGTTGAGGATGTGATTATTGCAAAAAGCCAAGACATACTAAGGAAAAGTATTGGAAGCTCAATCTTCACTTAAAACAAAAAAAATACAAAGCCGGGAGGAAGGGAAATGCTCACTTGGCTACAGTTGGTAATGATGCTCAACCTTTTGATGTTCTTGACTCCTTTGATGTAATGGACAAACTCTTGAATATATGCTGTAGCTGGAAAAGGGTGGTACATCATTCTCACTTGGTTCTGGACTTAGTAATCCATCTAGTTAATATGCCAAGACAGGTATTGCACTTGCTTGTTCCACATCTTTTAGTYCWTGGATTGTAGACTCTGGGGCCAGTGCCCATATGACTGGTATGCCTTCACATTTTACCTCATATAAGTTAACCCTAGAGACAGGCAAGATTACTGTTGTTGATGGATCTCAGACCCCTATTTCAGGTCAGGGTGAAGTTAAACTCACTCATAACCTTTCTCTTGAATCGGTTCTTCATGTGCCCCAATTACATAAAAGTTTGTTGTCTGTTAGTTCTCGTACGAAATCCCATAATTGCTTAGTGACCTTTTTTCTTACCCATTGTGTTTTTCAGGACCTGAGCACGGGGAAGATGATTGGAAGTGGGCATGAAGCTGATGGAGTGTACCTCTTTGATGGACCTTAAGAGCATGGATTGTTGAGCCAGACTAAGTCTTGTTTAAATGAGAAAATGAGTCTTTTGAAATTATGGCATTGCCGTCTTGGTCATATGTCTTTCAATTTTGTAAAACTTTTGTTTCCAAACTTGTTTGACTCTGTGTCAAAGTTGAGCTTTGAACGTGAAGTTTGCCATCTATCAAAACAATGTAGAACCACATATTTTGCGAGTAGTAAAAGAGGTAATGTTGCTTTTCATTTGATTCATACTGATGTTTGGGGCCCATACGCCATCTCTTGCATGGGTGGGTATAAATACTTCATCCTCTTCATTGATGACTACAACCGGCATACATGTCTCTACTTGATGAAAAGTCGAGATGAAGTTCCTATGGTGGTTCAAAACTTCATGAATATGGTAGAGACACAGTTTGAGAAAAGAGTTAAGATAATAAGATTTGACAATGCCAAGGAATACTTTGAACATCATTTGCATAGATTTCTTGAAGATCGGGGCATTATTCACTAGAGTTCGTGTAGTCATACTCCACAACAAAATGGGGTAGTTGAAAGGAAGAATTGGCATGTGGTTGAAGTTGCTTGAGGTTTACTGTTCCAGACTCATGTTCCCACCCGTTTCTAGGGTGATGCTGTTGAGACATCTGTTTATCTCATCAACAGACATCCTTCAAGGACCCTTAATTTTCAGTCTCCTCATCAACTTCTATTTCCTAATGAACCTTTTTTCAATCTCCCCCTTAAAATCCTTTGTTGTGTTTGTTTTGTTCATGATATAAGTCCTTTTCGACGTAAGTTTGATCCTAAGTCAGTTAAATGTGTCTTCCTCGGTTACTCTCCTGTCCAGAAAGGCTATAGATGCTTTGATGTTCTCTCTGGCAAGAGATATGTCTCTAAGGATGTTACATTTTTGGAGTCCTCCTCTTTTTTCCAGTCATCCCATCCTCTTTAGGGGGAAAATGCAAGTGAAGATCGGACTCCCTTCTGCCTTCCTATCCCTGTCTCTTATGTTTCTCCTTCTCCTCTCTCTCTTCCCTGTAACAATGTTATTCCTTCTCTTCTCCTCCTCCTCCTCTTCCTGTGTATCAACTTCGGTCCTGACAGTAGTTTTTCATCAGGCGCAGTAAGAGGGTGGCTCCTGAAGTAGAATGCCCATCACATTCTATTCTCCTAGACTCAGGTAATCTTGAACCTCCTGATAACTCTATTATTGATCCTGACCTTGATCTTCCTATTGCCATTCGAAAAGGGAAGAGGACACGTGGCAAGTATCCTATTACTAATTATGTGTCTTATGATGCTATC